CAGGGGGTTCCGCCTCGCGTTCGCGGGTGGCGGTCGCTCGACGGAAGCGTCGTTGATGTCAAGTCGGGCATGCCTGGAGTAGCCCAAAGTTGTCAAACTAGTAGTCGGGGGATGTGTTTCGACTATTTCTGAATTATTGTCTAGTGTATTTGGACTTTGAGGATTTTCCTTCCAAAAGCCGCCTGTAGGAGGACATGCCCGACCCAAGACTCACAGCGCGTTGCGCGATAGAGGCTCCTAGCGGAGGTAGGGATAATTAAGGGACCACGCCGAGGACCCCACAGGGAGTACGGGGAGCCCGGGAAAAGCCGCTCCGGGACGGCGGTGTCGCTCGAGGCTTCCTTGCTCTCAGCCATCGTGCCCTCGCCTCGGTGGCGGCTACATTTTGCGGTCTGGGCTTACCAGCCTCGAACGTATCCTTATCCCAAAGATTGACACGCCAAAAGGCGATGACAATCTCAGGGATCCGCCCTCAAAAAATAAGGGGATCCCTGAGATTGGCATCGTGATGAGGGGGTGCCCCGCATAGTGATAGGGATATGCTCCAGGCTGGTCATAGGCGGCCGCGACCCCTTTGGTCGCAGAGCATGTCACCACCTACCAAACCACCCCAAACCCAACCTGAAGGCCTCAATTTGGCCTCCATTTCCAGTGGGGGGGGGTCGGGGAACGTTGAAAAAACACATGGAACCCGCCCCCCCCCCCCAACCCGAAATTCGGGTCAAATTCGGGTCTTCGGGTTGGGTTGGGGTGGTCTGGTAGGTCGCAACGCATGCGCACTGCACGTGCGCGTGGCCGTTCTGCGCGAGGCCCCCTCCCTCTCGGGCATATCGTGCCTGCGCCTCGACGGCGGCTAATTACACTTTGGGGTCTGGGCGGCCGCGACCCCTTCGGTTGCAAACCTTACGTCGGGCCTGTCCCTTCTGCAGGAGGAGTACTGAAAAATGGTCCAAAACTAGTCTGGGGACTATGTTTTCATTTTTTTTGTTTTATCTTTTTGTTGTTTTTTTCATTTGTCCTTCAAGATCTCCTGTATGGGGGACAGGACAGGCCCGACGTCATGCAAAACAGGCGCACAGCGAGTGCACGCGGCCTCGCGCTCGCCCCTGTCCCCGGCCGCGTCTTCCCTGGGAGCTCCTGGGGAGCACACCGGGGATCCACGCCTTCGCTGTACCCCACCTCGGGCTGCCATCAGGGTGCCTTGCTAGGGTTAAGTCGGGCCTGTCCCTCTACAGGAGGAATACTCAAACATGGTAAACAAAAAATGGTCTGGGGAGGATTGTTTCGATCATTTTTGAATATGTTTCGGGTATGTTTCGACTGTTTTTTATTTCTCGTCCAAAACCTTCTGTAGGGGGGGACAGGCCCGACTATACTCCCAGGGTGAGGTCTTCGTTTCTGCAGCCGGCGGTGGCTCTTCGACGTCGGCGATCGTGGGCCGTCCTCGGGCCCCGAGGGCCAGGAGCGGCTCCGGGGCGGGGCCCCGGCCCCGGGGCAGCGGTCGGGGCCTTCCTTCGGGAGCCTTGAGGCAAACGGGGGTCAGCCAGAGCGCCCGATCTTGCAGGAGCCTGCAGGGCCAGGGTCGCATTGGCCCGGGCTTGGGTGCAGGCTCCTGCAGGAGTTCTGCAGGATCCTTCGCACTGACCCGGGGTCGGGAGCGGGGTCTTGCAAAGATCCTGCAAGGCCTGCCTGACCCGGGCCTGGATTGACCCGGGTCAGGAGATGCCCGATTCCTGGAGCCGCGGCGGCTGCGCGAGGGCGGGGCGGGCTGGCCCCGGCCTCCGGGCGTCACGAAAAAGCGTCGCGGCGGAGGGCCTGGGGCTCTCCGGCCTGCGAGGCCCTTGTAGGGGGCCAGGCCTCCAGGGATCGAGCAGGATGCCGATGGCCGAAGCCGTAGATACCCCAAACGCTGAACTGTGTTTTTTTCCGTATCGAACCGACGAAGCAGATGTAGGAGGTGAGCAGATGTTCGACGAAAGTTGTACGGATGCGGCAGTTTCCGGCATGCGGGGCCCGCGGGGGCCAGACCTCTGGGGATCGAGCAGGCGACCGATGGCCGAATTCGTGTACCCCAAACTTGTGTTTTGTTGTATCGAAACTGCAGAGCACATGCAGAATGCGAGCAGATCTACGAACGTTGTACGAAACCGACTGCAGAATTCATGTACCCCAAACACGTTGTTGTTTGTATCGAACCTGCAAAACACATGTAGGATGTGAGTAAATTTACGAGAGCTCACCGAGCGCGGTCCACTGCTCGCAAAGTGCCTACTCGCAAACGTCAGAGAAAAAAACACACAGACAGACAATGAATTTTAGATCCCCCACGCCCGATCCAGGTCATTTGCTAAGGGAGCAAAAAGTGGCAGAAACATAAAAACTCGGAGGTCCGCGCCGATCCGAGAAATCCGCGCGGACCTCCGAGTTTTTATGTTCCTGTCACTTTTTGCTCCCCTATTTGCGAGCAGTCACTCTGCGAGTCGTTGACCGCCTGCCCCCAAACAAAAGCCATGCGAATCCGGTCGGTCGCCTGCCTGGCGGGAGCCGCGCGGCGCACGGGTGCACGGCGTCGGATGCCGGCCACGGGTGCCCTGGGGCGGGGGGGGGGCGTCGACTTTGCCAGCCGCTCGCTCCCCTCGGCGGCAGTCGAGGCCCGAGCGCATCTGGGCGCGGTGGGGGGGTTCGAGGGCCTGCCGCCGAGATCCATCGGCGATGCATCGGCGATCCATGGAACAAACACACAGACACAATGCATCGTCGATCCCCCAGAAGATATGGGAAGATATGGGAAGTGCGGGGGAAGGCAGAAACCCAGAAAATAATGAACAATATGGGGAAACCTTTTATTTGTGTGTATTTATTTGTGTGTCCAAGGGCCCCTTCAGATAGACCTCCTACCCTGACGCGTCGATTAGCGAATTGGCCGTTCTCGGTTCGCGAGGGGGCGTCGCGGCCGTCATCTTTGCGGGTCCGGGTCCGTCGGTGTCGGTCCCAGGCCGTTTTCACCAAGGGGTATTTTTTACAGGGAGGTTTGTCCGCCGCCGAATGTTTCGGCCCCTGGGCTGATGTTGCTCCCATCGTACTTGTAAGGGCCACATCCCGGGAATAGTTTTGAGCACCCAGGGGAGCATCGAAACAGCGTCGAACGAGTATCGCCTCCCAGGGCCCGACACGAGAGAACCTTCAAGTTTCGGTACTTCGTGTTGCTCGACATTCTTTCTGGTGATCAAGGCTAAGGTAGGCTGGAACATTTTCACCCTATTCCAGTCCCACCCTCCCCTTCTTTAGATTCTCCCTCCGTCGTCGTCCACGTCGTAGGGCTCGTCGTCGCGGGCGTCGGCGTCGGCATCGGCTGTCGCGCTGGAGTCGTCGGAGGGGGGCGGGGAGGGCGAGCCAGGGGGAGGGCGGAGGGAGGGCGAGTGGGAAGGGAGAGGGGGGAGGAGGAATGGGACGGACCTGGAGGGGGAGTCACATGGGAGGAGGAGGAGGAGGAGGAGGAGGAGGAGGAGGAGGAGGAGGAAGAGGAGGAGGAGGAGGAGGAGGAGGAGGAGGAGGAGGAAGGCGCGGAGAAGGAGCAGCAGGGGGATGAGGGAGGGGGACAGGTTCTCAGAGGTTTCATAACATCTTGCGGGGGTCAAGAGTCTTCCAATCAGATGCTTCAGGTAAATCCCGCCACAGTGAGAGCGCAGCAGTGCAGCATGGACAATGAGCAGGATGAGCAGGGGGAGGAAGAAGAGGAGGATGATAGTGTATCGCTTATGCCTCTCAGGGTCGGCATAATGTTGATGGTGTTGTCGAGTAGGGATGAGGGGAGGCGGAGTTTGACACCCGTTCCAGTTCACCGCCTTCTGAGCAACTGGCGCTGGTCTTGAACGCCACATGCTTGTCAGTTCTCCGTCATCCTCTCCCGCCCCTCCCTGGAATCCGAGGCGGGGATTAGATGATAACATGCCCACGACATGGATGCGTGATTTTGCACAACCCCCCGCTTCGCATTGAATGCTTGCTGGAGGCGTCTTGCTAGCTGTTTGTTGGGCTATCTTGAGGGGGCGTCGGGGGCCTCGGGGTCGTGTTGGGCGCGATGGTCCTGCGGAGCTCTCCCGAGGAGGCTCGGTTGTCCGAACGTGTCGTGAGGCCCTCTTGGAGCAACCTCTTGGCATCGCTCGGACGTGTGCATTTTATTTTCGGCGAGGGCCATCAAGGAACATCCTTGATCATTTCGCGAAAAAACCACGCACGAAACCGAAAACAACACAGGGAATGGACGTCCGAGCGATGGCCAGATCTCGGTGCGGGATTGGGCCGTTTGGGGGGGTTCCTCGAGCCACCTTGGGCCGATCTGAGGCTGTCCTGGGGCCGTCGTCGGTTGTCTCGGGCGCTTCTGATGGCTCTCTGAAGCTGTCCCGAGGCAATCTAAAATCGGAGCCTCGGAAGCATATCTCGGCGGCGAGCGAGGGGGGGGAGTGAGAAGGAGACGACCGTCTCAGAGTCTTCGGAAGTCTCTTGACCTTCTGAGAAGTTTTCTAAGCCTTCCCCGAAGACAAAAGCAACTTCTCAGAAGGCGCGAGGGCTTTGAGAAGTCCCGCCGCCTTCTGAGAAGGCCTTCTCCTTCTTACTTCCCCCCCACCTCGCTCGCCGCCGAATAGCACACATAGCTCAGATGTTGTCATAGCTCATAATACCTCACGCCCCCACCATGTCTTAGTCTTCCTGTATACGGCCCCCCTTCCTGATCAGTCCTCTGTTGCACTGGTGTTGTGTCAGCAGTTCTGATGCAGCCCAGACAGGGAGAGAGCGAGAGAGAGATAGAGAGAGAGCGAGAGAGAGAGAGAGAGAGAGAGAGAGCGCGAAAGAGACAGAAAGAGACTGGGGGGGTACAGATGCGGAGAGCCTGGGGACGCATGGAGGCGGAGAGGGACAGAGAGGGAGAGAGGCCCAGGGAGAGAAGGCGCCTGCCTGCGAGAGAGGAGGGGGCTGGCACGTGCGCAGGGAGACCACCGATGCTGGCCGTCCTCGCCCTCCCCGCCCTCCTCCTCCCGCTGCCCGCGGCGGGCGGCCGCGCGCCAGCGGCAGGCCTCGCGCGCCGAGGCGCGGCCTCTCCTGGTCGGCGTCGCTCGGACGTGTGCACGTTTGCTCTCGGCGAGGGCCACCGAGGAGCTGTGCTCGAGGAGGCTCTGCACGGCGCGGTTCCCGGAGGGGTGGACGCTCGCGCCCCGCCCGTCCTCGGAGGGCCCCACGGAAGCCGGGGCGGCGGAGCCTGCACGCATCCGCTGCTCCCTGGGCCGGGCCCATCCGGAAGCCAGCAGCCGCGTATGCGCCGCGCCCTCCTGGCCATCCTGGGCCGTCGAGCAGAAGAAGCGCGCACGAAGCCGAGCGATGCACGGGAGAAGTGGACGTCCGAGCGGCGGCAAGCCTGGGACCGTCCGCGGCCGATTTTTTGGGCTCCGGCTCGCGGGGCCGAGTCGTGCCGGGGCTGCGGCGGGCGCCTGCCAGCCATGAGCGCGCTGCGGTCTCTCCTCTACGACAGGGGTGCCGGGTCGCTGCGGGTGCTGGACCTTGGGCGAAGGGAACTATGCACATGCACCGATCCTGGCAAGGCCCATCCTTGACCCAGGATCGGTGCATATGCCTTCCTGGCCAAGGTAGGAGGGCGTATGCACCGATCCTGGGCTCAGGATGGGCCTGGCAAGAATCGGTGTATGTGCATAGTTCTTTTTCCTCTAGGACCAGCTGAGGCTGCCGACGGAGAAGGTGTACATCGACGTCAAGACGTCCGAGGACGCATGGCGTGTCATCCGGGAGATGAACATCCGAGGGGCCCCGCTGATCGCGATTGTCGCCGCCCTGGGGATAGCCGTGGATGCCGGGCGTCAGAGTTTCGCGACTGATGACGAGGCAGACAGCCGAAAGGCCGCTTGCACATTCTTATCGAAAACGCCTACGGCGAATCACCGCCGCCCCCTGCCCCTCTGGAAGCGCCTCTGTGGCCGACGGTAGGGCCAGAGCTTGGCCAAGCTATCGGGCCAGTTGTTCCCCGAGTCGGTTTGGAAAGACTTCGGGGAACGCATGGGGGAGCAAACAGAGGAGGAGGAGGGGGAGGATGAGGAAAAAGGAGGAGGAGGAGGAGGAGGAGGAGGAGGAGGAGGCCTCTTGGGCGGCGGCGCCTCTTGGGGCACTCCTGGGAGTTTCCTGGGGGCCTCTTGGAGGGTTTGGGGGGGCCTTCGGGGCTTCTTGGGGGCCTCTTTGGCCGGCTTAGTGTGTTCCTGGCTTGTCTGACGCCGTCGGAAGCCGTCTTGGGGGCCTGTCTGGGTCGTCTTGGGGCCCTCTTGGGGCACGCCAGGGGTTCTTAGAGGCCATCTTGGGCGTCTTGGAGGCATCTTGGGCCGATTTGGGGCCCTCTTGGGGCCGTCTTAGGAGCCTTTTTGGTCGTCATGGGGCCATCGTGGAGGCCTCTTGGGCGATCTTGGGTGCCTCTTGCGCCGTCTTGGGCCGTCGGAATGCCGAAAAGAAGGAAATGCCAAAATCCATCAAAAACCAAAGGAAGATCAATGATTTCGGGCTCTTCTTGCCCTCCTGGAGGACCTCCTGGACGCCTTCTGGGCTGTCTTGGAGGCCTCTTGGGGGCCTCTTGGGCCGTCTTGAGGCCATCTTAGGCCGTCTTGGGTGCATCTTGGGCCGTCTTGGAGGCATCGTGGGGCCATCTTAGCCGTCTTGGAGGCCACTTTGGCCGTCCTGGCGGCCTCGTGGGCCCTCTTGGGGCCGTCTTGGGGGCCTCTTGGGCCGTCATGGGGCCATCTTGGAGGCCTCGTTGGCGATCTTGGGGGCCTCTTGGGCCGTCTTGGACCGTCGGAATGCCAAACAGAAGCAAATGCCAAAATCCTTCAAAACCCTAAGGAAACCACTGATTCTGGCCTCTTCGGGCCCTCCTGGAGGACCTCTTGCAGGCCTCTTGGGCCGTCTTAGAGGCCTCTTGGGCCGTCTTGGGCTATCTTGAGGCCATCTTAGGCCGTCTTGAGTTCATCTTGGGCCGTCTTGGAGGCATCGTGGGGCCATCTTAGCCGACTTGGAGGCCATCTTGGGCGTCTTGGAGGCCTCTCGGGCGGTCTTGGGGCCCTCTTGGGAGCATCTTGGGAGCCTCTTGGCCCGTCATGGGGCCATCTTGGAAGCCTTGTGGGCGATCTTGGGGGCCTCCTGGGCCGTATTGGGCAAGCCGAAAAGACGCAAATGCCCAAATCCTTCAAAAACCAAAGGACTTGTGGCCTCTTCGGGCCCTTCTGGAGGAGCTCTTGGGGCGTCTTGGAGGCCTCTTGGGGGCCTCTTGGGCCGTCTTGGGCCATCTTGAGGCTATCTTAGGCCGTCTTGGGTGCACCGTGGGCTGTTTTGGAGGCATCTCGGGCCCATCTTAGCCGTCCTGGAAGCCATCTTGGAAGCCATCCTGGGCCATCTTGGAGCCGTCTGAGGCAGGAAAACCGTTGGCAACCACCTTGTCCGGGACCCTGGCGGGACAGGCCGAAGCCCCAGGGGGAGTTCTTGTTGGAAAAAGAACCAAAACCAAAACCGAAATAGTCTAGCACGCCAGGCACCCCTGCGATAAATCGACAGGGGAAGGCGGATCGAACACGCCCACGGCGAATCACCGCCGCCCCCTGCCGAAGCGCCTATGTGGCCGAAGGCGGATCGAACACGCCCACGGCGAATCACCGCCGCCCCCTGCCTTTTTGGAAGCGCCTATGTGGCCGAACGTTGAGGCCAGACCTGCCAAGCCATCGGACCATGTGTTCCCCGAGTCGGTTTGGAAAGCCTTCGGGGAACACGTGGGCATCTTGAAGGTCATCTTGGCCGTCTTGGAGGCCTCTTGGGCGATCTTCCGGCGATCTTTGGGGGCTCTTGGGCCGACTCGGGCTGTCGGAAGGCCGAAAAGAAGGAATTGTCGAAATCCGTCAAAACCCTTAGGAACATCCGTGTTTTTGGCCTCTTCTGGCCTTCCTGGAGGCCCTCTTGGGGGCCTCTTGGGCCGTCTTGGGCCAGCTTCGAGCCAACTTCGGCCTTCTTGGTGGGTTCCTGGCACGTCTGACGCCGTCGGGAGCCGTCTTGGGGGCCTTTTGTGGGCCAACGGGGGACCCTCTTGGGGCGCTTCGGGGCAGTCTTGGAGGCCATCTTGGGCGTCTTGGAGGCCATCTTGGGCGTGTTGAAGGCCTCTTGGGCCGTCTTGGGGCCATCTTGGAGGCCACTTGGGCCGTCATGGGGCCCTCTTGGGGGCCTCTTGGGCGATCTCGGGGGCCTCTTGGGCCGTCTTGAGCCGTCGGAATGCCAAAAAGAAGCAAATGCCAAAATCCTTCAAAACCCTAAGGAAACCACTGATTTTGGCCTCTTCGGGCCCTCCTGGAGGACCTCTTGCAGGCCTCCTGGGCCGTCTGGGAGGCCTCTGGGCTCTTGGGCCGTCTTTGGCCGTCTTTGACTCTCTTGGGCCATCTTGGAGGCCGTCTTGGACCATCTTGGGCGGACTTGGAGGCCATCTTGGGCCATCTTCGCTATTTTTTTTGGATGTCCCGAGCGAAACGGCCTTTTCAGGGAGGATTGTTCGTGGAGTTTGCGGTCCTGGGCAATCCTCCCGGGACCCCGGCGGGACGGGCCGAAGCGCCAGGGAGTTCTTTTGGAAAAGTAACCAAAACCAAAACCGAAATAGTCTAGCACGCCAGCCACCCCTGCGATGAATCGACAGGGGGCGGCGGATCGAAGACGCCTACGGCGAATCACCGTCGCCCCCTGCCTTTTTGGAAGCGCCTATGTGGCCGAACGTTGATGCCAGGGGGAGTTCTTTTGGAAAAAGAACCAAAACCCAAACCGAAAGGATCTAGCACGCAAGGCATCCCTGCGATGAATCGACAGGGGGCGGCGAATCTGATGGGTTTGGCCCATCCCGCCACCGTGCCCGGGGTGTGGGTCTGAAGCCTATGTGACGATGTTCGTTGGGATCTCGTAGGAGGCCTCTCGGGGGCCTCTTGGAGGCAGTTTGGGGGCCTCTTGGGGGCCTCTTGTGGCCTCCTGGGCGCCTCTTGAGGGCCCCTTGTGGCCTCCTGGGTGCTCATTGGGGCTTACTGGGGCCCTCTTGGGGAGGACGGCTCGGATTTTCGGTTCGTGTTCCCTCTCTTGGGCCCCTTTTGGTGTCGTCTTGGGGCCCTCTTGTTCCGTCTTGACTCTTGTGCCGTCTTGGGGCGCTCTTAGGCCGTCTTGGGGCCCTCGGGAATTTGGGTCCGGGCCCTTAGTTGACGCCTCATAACTGAGGATTGAGGCTCAGGGGATTGGGCAAAGGACCTGAGGACACGCCCACTCCGTGCCCAGCGGAACGGTGGCGGATTCAAACAGATGGAGTATTTGCGCACCTCGCGTCCTACAGCCGTGAATCTTTTCAACGCGATGGATGCATTGAGAGCTCTTGTGACAAAGTCCTCTGGAGAATCTGTTTCGGGCCGCGGGGTGGTGGGAGCTTTTACAGCCGCTGCAGAGGAGATGCTCGAGGCAGATGTCGCGGACAACCGAGGGATCGGCCGCTTCGGAGCAGACGCAATTTTGTCCAGAGCTGGCAAGGAAAAGGTGCGCATCATGACGGTCTGTAACACGGGGTCGCTCGCATGTGCCGGCTACGGCACTGCGCTTGGCGTCGTTCGGGCATTGCACGAGCGGGGAGCGTTAGAGGAAGTGGTCGTGTTGGAGACGCGGCCGTACAACCAGGGTTCGCGGCTAACCGCTTTCGAGGTCGTCGAAGAACGCATGCCAGGTCGGCTCATCTCCGACAACATGGCAGCATCTTTCATGAAGAGGATTGGCTGCGATGCGGTAGTCGTGGGAGCGGACAGGGTCTGTTCCAACGGGGACACTGCCAACAAGATCGGGACGTACATGCTTGCAGTGCTTGCGAAACACCACGGCGTTCCGTTCTACGTGGCCGCCCCGTTGACCACCTTTGACCTTGAGATGAAGAGCGGGGAAGGTATCACCATCGAGGAGCGCAAGGCTTCCGAGCTGCTCGAGAGTTCCGGGGCCCCTCCAGACATTCCAGTCTGGAACCCAGCGTTTGATGTGACTCCTGGGGAGCTCATCTCCGGGGTCGTGACGGAGCTGGGCGTTGTGGAGCAGCGACACGGCTCTGTCGATTGTGCAGGCTTCGTGGCAGCGAACGCCTCCAAGCGTCGGCGGATCTAGGCCTGCCTGCCCCACGGCCACATGCCTCCTCCGTCCTCCCGCTTTCGTCGCCCGCCTTCCCCGTCGCTCGTGCTCTACCGCGGCGTCAAATTTTGATGGCCGGAGGCCGCATCGGTGCGAGAGAAACGGCGTTCTGAACGGCGCTTCGGCTGCCGCTGCTGGCCCGAGCAGCAGGCCCTTGACGTGTTGGCATAGGCTGGCAGCGCCGAGGGGGGATCTCCTCGGCCCCATCGAGCAGAAGGCTTTCTGAGCCTGTCACCGCTGGGGACAGCACGCACGCCTCGCGCCCTCGCGACTGGACCAAAGTTCGAGGCCGCGTGGTCCTCCTTCCGAGCATTTTCTTTGGGTGGAGGGCGAAGGGTGAAATCTGAAATGCCGTTTCGATTGGTTTTCGAGGCCTGAATCTGGAAAAGGTGAATCACAAGACGGACTGATTTTCGAGGTGTAAAAGCCCACATGGATTGCACCCTGAGCCCTCCACCCCAAGAAAATGCGCAGTCCCTGCCTCTGCAGAAGGCACCTGTGCACCACCGCCGTCTCCCTGGCCAGGCACGGTGGCGGTGCCCCTCGGCGGCGGAGCCCGAGCCCGGCCCTCGCTGGTCAACGCTGCGGGCACCTCGAGGGGCGGCGGGGGGCAGAGCTCTGAGCTCGTCGAGCACGCGGGGCAGTGCGCACCCGACCCCCGCCCCCCACCGCTTCTCGGGCCGGACGACAGGGGGGGGGTTGGGCAAGGGGGGGGGTATTAAAACAGGGCTAGGATCGGGATAAATCGCTCCAGAGCGTTCCGGAGCGCTCTCAGAGCGTTCCGGAACGCTCTGGAGCGGCCGCGGCGCCCAATACGTCCTCCAAACCCGCCGATTCTCAGAGATTTCGAGTTATCCCTATCCGATTTTGTCCCGATCTTCGCGTCGTTTTAGGTACGAAATAAATCTGCGGCATGCAGCTGGTTTCTGCCTCGCCGAGGGGCCCACTCCTCGATGCGCGGCCGCCTCCGGCGCTGGGAGGCGCCGAGAGAATCGGCCACGTGAGCTGATGCTCAAACCCCCCCCCTTGCTACAGTCGGGGCCCTGAAGAAGGAACCCTTTTCGTTGGAGAGGGGCTCCGCGTTCCTTACGTGTGTCACAGCTTGCCTCAGGTTTTCCTTATGTTTCCGATCGGACATCGAAGTTTAACTTATGGAAAAAAGGGGCCTCGTTCCTTATGGAAAAAAGGGGCCTCGTTCCTTATTTTGGGTTCCTCAGGTCAAGGCCCCGACTGTATCCCCCCCTTCGCCCGACCCGAGGTTCTCTCTCGGTGATCGCAGGGCTCGGATGTCGCCACCCAGCGCGGGTGTCTTCTGCGCACTGTCCCTGCTCCTTGGCATCGCTCGGACGTGTGCATGTTTTGTGGGCAGGGGCCATCGAGGAGCATTTTTGTTCACGCTGCGAAAAATTATCCCGGCAAAGCAACCTAACAGCGATGTGTAGAAGCATATCTGAAAGCATTCCCCTTAAGATTCAGATGAAAATCCAGTTGTCGAATTCTGCTGTTCTCGCAGTCGTAGTCGCATTCGCGATGACAGTCGCAGCGGCAACGGCAGTCGCAGTCACAGCCTCAGCCTCAGCCTGCCTCCTCCTCCTCCTCCTCTTTCTCCTGCTCCTCCTCCTCCTCCTCCTCCTCCTCCTCTTCCTCCTGCTCGTCCTCGTTCTCGTCCTCCTCGTCTTGCTCGTCCTCCTCCTCCTGGTGCTCTCTCCTCCTCCTCCTCCTCCTCCTCCTCCTCCTCCTCCTCCTCCTGGTGGTCCTCGTTCTCCTCCTCCTGGTGCTCTCCCCCCCCTCCTCCTCCTCGTCCTCCTCCTCCTCCTCCTCGTCCTCCTCCTCCTCCTCCTCCTCCTCCTCCTCCTCCTCCTCCTCCTCCTCCTGGTAGTCCTCCCCCTCCCCTCCTCCTCCTCCTCCTCCTCTTCCTGGTCGTCCTCGTTCTCGTCCTCCTCGTCTTGCTCGTCCTCCTCCTCCTGGTGTCCTCTCCTCCTCCTCCTCCTCCTCCTCCTCCTCCTCCTCCTCCTGGTGGTCCTCGTTCTCCTCCTCCTGGTACTCTCCCCCCCCCTCCTCCTCCTCCTCCTCGTCCTCGTCCTCCTCCTCCTCCTCCTCCTCTTCCTCCTCCTCCTCCTCCTCCTCCTCCTCCTCCTGGTACTCCTCCCCCTCCCCTCCTCCTCCTCTTCCTCCTCTTCCTGGTCGTCCTCCTCCTCCTGGTCGTCCTCCTCCTCCTGCTCGTCCTCCTCCTCCTCCTGCTCGTCCTTCTTCTCCTGCTCCTCCTGCTCCTCGTCCTGCTCCTGCTCGTCCTCGTCCTCCTGGTCTTGCTCGTCCTCCTCCTCGTCGTGCTCTTGCCCCTGCTGAAAATGTGGCCCAGGAATGGGAGTTCTGGGAAGTCGAAGAGCACGAAGTTGCCTACAGTTGGCTACGGGCATTCAAAATGTGGCCCGGGAATGGAGTTCTGGGAACTCGAAGAGCACGAAGTGGCCTACAGTTGGCTCCGGGCATTCAAAATGTGGCCCGGGAATGGAGTTCTGGGAACTCGAAGAGCACGAAGTGGCCTACAGTTGGCTCCGGGCATTCAAAATGTGGCCCGGGAATGGAGTTCTGGGAATCGAAGAGCACGAAGTGGCCTACAGTTGGCTCCGGGCATCCAAAATGTGGCCCGGGAATGGCGTTCTGGGAACTCGAAGAGCACGAAGTGTGTGACTGTTGCATCCGGCCCCCCAGAATGTGGCCCGGGAATGGCGTTCTGGGATGTCGAAGAGCACTTTGTGTGTGACTGTTGCATCCGGCCCCCCAGAATGTGGCCTGGGAATGGAGTTCTGGGAAGGCGAAGAGCACGAAGTGTGTGACTGTTGGTGAAAAACGAGCCCGGCTCATGCCGCCCGGAAACGCCCCAACACCTGCCCGGACCCCCCTGTGGAGTGATCTGCTGCTCTCTTTTGATCCCACTAGAAACCTATCAGTCTTCGCTGTTAGGTAAATACACACTTTTTACCGTCCAGCGAAGCCCAGTGGCACAGGAGGACACAGCAGAGAGGGAGGAGGAAGGGGGAGGGGGAGACCGGGGGGAACTGCGAACAAAATACACACACGAAGCCGAACAATGCACAGGGAATAGACGTCCGAGCGATGGCCAGATCCAGTTCGGGTGCCTTCTGCGCACTGTCCCTCCTCGCTCTGCCTTCCGGCCCCCCGCTCCCGCTCCCGCAGGTCCCGGTGTACGGCGCGCCGTGGTGCGGCGCGGGCACCTGCCTGCCCGAGGCCCTCCGCACGGCTGCTGCTGCTGTTGCGTCGGGCCCGTCCCTCTACAGAAGGAATGTTCAAAAAAAGTCCAAAGATCGTCTTCTGGACTATTTTTTGAGTATGTTCTGGCTACCTTGGAGTAGTTCTTGGCTATTTTTGATGTTTCGTCGACCACCCCCTCTGTGGGGGGGGACGCCTGACTGAATGCCACTGCTGCTCCGAGCTGCCGCCGCCTGCTGCTCCGTCCAGCCTCTCACCGGCAACGTCATCTCGCGGCCGCCCACCGCCCGCGGCGACAATGGTAGGGGGCCACAAGCGAACCCTACCCCTACCCCCCACGATTTTTGAGGGGGAGGGTGGGGTTCACTTCTTTCGGGAGGTCACGAGCGAAGTGAACCCCACCCTCCCCCTCGGAAATCGTGGGGGGTAGGGGTAGGGTTCGCTTGTGGCCCCCTAACTGGGACAACGTCAGGGGGGCGAAGCTCAGGTCTTCGAGCGTGCTCGCGGGTCCTCGGTGGTGCGCTCCCGCCTCGGGGTGCTCGCTGCAGCGCCCTGCGCCTCGCCGAGAGCGCCTTCTGCAGGCGTGCCGGGAGCGGCCCGAGCGGCCGCCAGAGAGCCGAGGCGGGACCCGGAAGCCAAGGGGCAAGGACAGGGGGGGAATACGGTAGGTTTGCGTCGTGTCGACCAGCGGCGACCCCAGCGCGGACGTTCAAGGTTGAACGCCGCCGGCGACCCAGAATCGATCGATGTTGAACGATCGGACGTTGCGGCAGCGGCCGATCGTTCAAGGTTGAACGATCCCTGCGGTGTCAAAAACCAACGCTGGGGTCGGCACGACACAAAGCTGCCGTACCAGTTTGAAACATATCCCTATCCCTATGTTTGACATCACCTCGCCTCGATGCCGATCCGAAGGGTTCCCTCGGTTTCTGAGGGCCTGTCCCCAAGAGTGTCCTCGCTTTTTGCTCGTCCATCTCAGGGATAGGGACAAGTTCGAGGCTGGTTAGATATAGCCCACTGATCGCCGACAGGGGCCGCATGGCCCCACCCCGCCCAGGAGCCTGCGGATGGGCCATGGGAGGGCCTGCCGCCGATCTCTAGGCGACGCATCGCCAGAGCCAGGTCGACGATTCCCCCCTCTCCCCCCTAAGGGCGTTCCCCCCTGTCATTCCTCCTCGTGATTGTTTTTCATTCACTGTTCTCCGATCGGCGCGGGCCCTCGCCCCCCCTATTCCCCCCCATGGAGTAAATCTTGGCTGGTTTTGGACCACATGTTTGAAGCAGGTGGAGTCTCCCCCCCCAATAGGACACACTGTTGCAAGCAGTCGCGTGAAGCAGAGGTCCGGAGCCAGACCCCCCTGTTACGCCCAAGGTCGATACGCCGAATAAGAAAAAGTTGATCACGGGGGTGAGCTTCGTCGTCATCGGACCCAGATCTCCAGCGTTCTGATCGCTCAATCTTGAGTCGGGCATGCCCCTCTACAGGAGGAATACTCGAAGGACGATTTGTGGTTCATTCCTCAATCAGAGCTTGTAGGGGTCCTAGCGGATTCATATTGGTTAGGTTAGGTTTGCTGCCGATTTTCGCCGCACGCCCGGGTGCCAGGGTGCCCAGGGGTGCCCGGGTGCCCGGGTGCCTGGGTGCCCGGGTGCCCGGGCGTGCCCGGGGGTGCCCGGGGGTGCCCTAAAGCCCAATAGCCCTATAGCCCTATATAGCCCTATAGCCCTTTAGCCATATAGCCCATATAGCCATACAACCCAATAGCCCATCTAGCGCCCAAGAGCCCATATAGCCCTGCAGCCCTGTAGCCCTACAGCCCTAAAAAGAGTCTGATTGGGGCTTTTCTCCGGCATCATTCCGCAGTCTTTTGGGGCATCGTTTATCCCTGATTTTTCGTCCAGGATCCGTCTGTACAGGACTTGGCATCGCTCGGACGCGTGCATGTTTTCTCGGCGAGGATCAGCGAGGACCATCCTGGACCATCGAGCAAAACAAAACACGCACGAAACCGACGAATGCACGGGAAATGGACGTCCGAGCGACGGCGAGCCTGATAGGAGGACGTGCCCCACCGTGCAGTGCAGGCCCATGCCGCGAGGCACCCCCCGCGGTGCCTCCGGGCTGTCCCGCGGGCTTCTCTCGGCGCTCGCGGGCTCTGCCGTGGGGAGAGCCCATGGCGCTACCACGCCGGACGATCGATCGATGGACGTCCTGGGGTCTCTTGTCTTGGCATCGCTCGTCTGCACGCACGAAATGGGTACTGAAAGAATGGGTACAATGCCCAACAGCGGATCTTGTTCAGTTTGAACAGGGCTCGCTGTCCACGCCGCCGCGGCCTGTGTCCGTTCGAGACAGGAGGCCGCCTGCCCAACAGCGGCCGCTGTTGGTTTGGGACAACATTTGCTGTTGGGCATGGTACCCATTTTTTCGGTACCCATTTCGGGTGTCCAAATTGGGTCTCTTGTCTTGGCATCGCTCGGACGTGTGCATCTTTCCTTCGGCGAGGACCATCGAGGAGCATCCTTGATCATCTGGCGAAAAAGCCACGCACGAAACCAACAGCAACACAGGAAATGGACGTTCGAGCGACGGCGAGTTGTGGTTTCAAGCAGTGGCGAAGCGTCCTGACAGCCCATAGCCCCACCGAGCAATGTTCTGAGAACCGCTTGTGGCTCCCACGACATGTCCTTGGAACATGTCTGGTTGGGACTGCCCTGTTTTAACACATCGGGTTTAAAACATTTTGGGGTTCTAAGAACATTTCGCGGTATGACTATAGGAATGCCGGGACGGTCGGTCCCTGCTCAATTTGTGGTTGGGTCTCTTGTGGAGGCCCATGCCAAGAAACACCCCGCTTGCCTCCAGGGTGCCCTGGGCTTCCTTGGTCTCGATGGTGCTGTTCTGTGGAGGGCGTGATGCTCCCACGCCACAAGTCGATGGACGTCCTGGGGTCTCCTGTGGTTGGGTCTCGCGTGGAAGGCTTCTTGTGGTCGGGCCCCCATTGCAGCCCACTCTGCTCGCCACGTGACAGCGCCGGGGGGGCCGAGAAAACATGCTGTTCCAGTCTGGGCGCCACGAGGCACAGCTAGGGGAACAACAAGTGGCATAAACATAAAAACTCGGAGGTCCGTGCGGATTTCTCGGATCGGCGCTGGACCCCCCTTCCTGGCGAGCGGAGCGCGCCAGGGGCGGCGCTGGAGGCGCCGCTGGGGGGCCCCAGCGCCGATCCGAGAAGTCCGCGCGGACCTCCGAGTTTTTATGTTGATATCACTTCTTGTTCCCCTAACAGCCTGGAGGTGGGGGGGGGCAAACCAAACATACAGTCCACTCCTATTGGACTCGTGGCAGCGCCGCTGGGGGCCGAGCAAAAATACTCATCCACTCCACTTCATACAACTTCATACCGCATACAATTTCGCAGACATACCATCACCAGCCTGGTACATATCCCTATCCCTATGATTGGCATCGCCTCATCTCGATGCCGATCTTAGGGATTCCCCCCGTTTCTGAGGGCGCATCCCTAAGATTGTCGTCGACTTTTGGCTTGTTAATCTTAGGGATAGGGATACGTTCGAGGCTGGTTATACCAACCAAACCAAACATGTAGTCTCCGTTCCGCCGCGCTTCCTCGGCGCCTCGGTCGTCTCGGGCCCGCGGTCGGCCCGCCACCGAGAGCTCGACGTCAGACGTCAGGCGCGGTTCGCTACTTCGAGTTTCGTAATAAGCGTCGGGGGGGGGCGTCACCCCCGCCGGCAGCCCCACATCGACCCCCGTCGCGGTGCGACGACGAGGCGAGGTTGACCCCCGTCGGGGGGAGGGGGTACCCCCCCACGCTTAGTGAGAAACCCGGAGTGGGCCTCCTAGATGGGTTCCGAGCGGATGGGGTCGGAGGATCGCGCCGCATCGCCGATGCATCGACGATGCGGCTCGATAATTATGGAGCCCGTGTTTCCCCACGCCGACGTCGCCGATGCGTCGACGATGCATCACCGATACATCGGCGATGCATTTGCGATGCGGCGCGATCCTTCGACCCCATCTACTCAGACCCCATCTAGGAGGCCTCTAGATTCGCGATTCCTCATCCTCATCCTCCTCGCCCTCCATTCGCACAGCGGACTCAGGGGCCTGCTTTTCCACATCTCTCCTACAGGGGGTCTCAAGAGTGCCCAGCTGTTGGACGCACTGACCCCCCCACGGCCTTCTCCTGCTCCTCTCCCTCCTCTTCTCCCCCAGGGGGCGAGAAGAGGGGGGGGAACTTCGCGCAGCGGAGCGCGACCACGGCTGCCCTTGGTGGGGGCGGCCGGGGCTTCTTGGGCCGTCACCCCTCACGTTGCCCCTCATCGCGGGGCGGGCGCAGTGTCTGACCGCCGGGCGGCGATCTCGAGGAGCCCCAGGTGGTGCCGAGGTCGCCGCGGGTTCCCCTGGGAGGCCTCAGAGTCGGGCTCCCTTCTCGTCTGGACGCCCGAAATGGGTACGGAAAGAATGGGTACACCTTAGGCGATGCTTAAGAAAACCTAAGTTTTCGTCCAGAGTCTCGATTATTCTTAACTTTTCCATGTGAATCCCAAGATGTTGATAGAAGTTCTGGGTTTTTTATTCAATTTCTGAGACTATGAATTTCTTAACCCATGATTTCTTAAGCATTTCGCAGGGTGTACGATGCCCAACAGCAGTTCCTGTTCATTTTGAACAGGACTCGCTGTCCACGCCACCGCGGCCTCTGCTCATTTTGAGACAGAAGGCCGCTTGCCCAACAGCGGCCGCTGTTGATTTGGGACAGCGTTTGTTGTTGACCATTGTACCCATTCTTTCCGTACCCATTTCGGGCGTCCAAATTCTCCCTTCCCCCTCTCTCTCTCTCTCGGAGGGCCCCCTCTCCAGAGAGCCGTTTTTGGGCATGCCCTGGGCTCTGCCATACTGTCCAGAGCTCGAGACCGTGTCTTCGCGGCGGGAGCCTCGAAACTCCGCGCACATGCCCTGGCGCACCGCCCGACGGCCGCATGCCGCCCATAGACGCCCGCCTGGCACACGCGAGCCCGGCCGAGTGAGGCCTCCCGGAGTCTCGAAAGGAAGAGATAGACCTCCTACCTCCTACCTCCTACCTACCTACCTACCTACCTCCTACCTCCTACCTCCTACCTCCTACCTCCTACCTCCTACCTCCTACCTACCTCCTCCTACCTCCTACCTCCTACCTCCTACCTCCTACCTCGATAGGAGGTGGATAGACCTCCTACCTCCTACCCTGACACGTCGATTAAGGACTTGGCCGTTTTCGGTTCGCGAGAGGGCGTCGCGGCCGTCGTTTTTGCGGGTCCAGGTCCGTCGGTTTCGGTCCCAGGCCGTTGTCACTGAGGGGAGGTTTACGGTTTACTAGAGGGAGGTTTGTCCACCGCCGAAGAAAGGCCACCCAACCCAAGAGGGGGGCCCACAGCCGCTCCGTCGAGCCCTTTTTCTGGCTCAAGGAAGCGCCGGGCCCCGCACCGCCTGCTCGGCCGGCCGCCGCTGCAGGGCCACGGCGGCCGCCGGCGGCGCCTGTCACGCGGCGCCGGCGCCGGAGGACGGCGAGGCTGATGTTGCTCCCGTCGTGCTGCAGGACCTCAGTGAGCCCCGGAAGCGACAGGGCCGTTTTTGTTACCGGTTCCTTTTTTTGCCGTTTTTTTTGCCGGTTCCGACGCCGTTTGGTTACCGGTTCCGTCGCGGTGTTTTGACCGGTTCCGGCTCTGGTTCCAATCCTGGAGCCGTTTTTGTTGCCGTTTCCGGTCTCCGTTTTTTTGCCGTTCCCATTTTCAAGGGGATTTTTTTGGAAACGGTGAAAAACGGCCCTGCCGTTTCCAAGGCCCACAAAGTTCAGGACCACACCTCAGGAATAATTTCGAGCACCCAGCAAAACTATCAAAGCAGTGTCGAACGAGTGTCGCGTCCCACGGCCCGACACGTGAAAACCCTCCAGTTTCGGTACCTTCTTGGTGCTCGACATTCTTTCTGGTGGCCAAGGCTAAAGTAGGTTGGAACAGCATAAGGCGAGGCGCTCCTCTTCAGGGAACAACTGCTGTACGATGGCCGGGGCGTTCGGCCCGCTTGCGGCGCCTGTCACACGGCGCTGGTGCTGGAGGACGGCGAGGCGGTCCCCTCCAGGGGCAGCGGATCTTACCAGAGCGCTCTGCCCGCCGAGCGCCTGGGCGGTCACAGGGTCACGCAGGCAGCCTGCGGCGTCTGTCACACGGGGCTGGTGCTGGAGGACGGCGAGGCGGTCCTCTCCGGGGACAGTGAGTCTTACCAGAGCGCTCTGCCCACCGAGCGCCTGGGCGGTCGCAGGGTCACGCAGGCCAGGGAGAAGGGTTAACACATGTCTTTCCTCGGTGCCAAACGCGTGTCATGTGAGGGTCAAAACTTGCTCCGGGCCGAACACTGTTTGTGCTGGGACCCGCCGTGTGGGGCATTTTCAGACACACTGCACTGAAGGCTTGAATTGGTGGTGTGTTGGTTGGCTGATTGGATCGCCGACTGCCGGGTCCAGAAACTTTCATTTGGGAGTTTGGGTCGTGGGGTGGCGGGTAGGTAGGTAGGTCGGTAGGTCGGTAGGTAGGTTGGTTGGTTGGTTCGTTCGTTCGTTCGTGGGTTGGTTGGCTGGTTGGCTCGCCAGATTCTGGGTCAAGAAAATTTGTTCTCGCGGTGGTTGGTTGGTGGGTTGGTTGGGCGGCGGTTGATTGGTGGGTTGGTTGGTGGATTGGTTGTTAATTACTTGGGCGACTGCTTGGTTGGTTGTTGCGAGGGTTGAATGGCTGGTTGGCCGGCTGGTTGCCTCACCGGCTTCCGGGCCCATTTTTCTTCCGAGGCGATGGGGTGGTTGGTTGGTTGGTTGGCTTGCTGGCTGAGTTGGTTGGGTGGTTGGTTCGTTGGTTGGCTGGTGGTTAGTTGGATTTTTGGGTGGTTCGGTGGCCGGTTGACCTCTTGCCCGGGTGGTTGGCCAGTTCTCCTCTCCCACTCCACCTCCCCCATTCCTCCCTCCTCACTCCTCTTCCTTCCCCCCCTCTTCTCTGCTCCTGACGCCCTTCTCCTCTATCCATGTCTTCATCCTCCTCCTTGTCCTCCTCGTCGTCGTCCTCCTCCTCCTACTCCTCCTTCTCTTCCTCCTCCTCCTCCTCCTCCTCCTGGTCCTCCTCCTCCTCCTCCCCCTCCTCCTCCCCCTCGCCAGCAACTTACTCCACCGAAATGTATTCCAACAGTATTGCAAGTGCAACGAAGTGCAAGGCAATGCAACGCAACCAGATGCAGTGCACTGCACTACAACGCATGCAACGCACATGCAAATACAAATGCAAACGCACATACAATGCAATGCAGTGCAGCAGGATGCAGTGCGGCGTATCATAACGCGATGCAACGCACTGCAATGCAGTGTGCTGCCATGCAATGCAGCGCAATGCAACGCACAGCAGTGCAAATGCACTGTGACGGAATGTGCGCCTCGGCACGTGGCAGCGAGGCGGGGCCGAAACACATGTGTTCTATTCCATTCGCCACGCGGCATCGCTTTGGCGGGCGACGAAATACAGTGGGGGCCCATGCAAAGAAACACCCCGCTTGCCTCCAGGGTGCGCTGGGTTTCTTTGGTCTCGATTGTTTTTTTTTTTTTTTTTTTTCTGTGGAAGGCGTGACGTTCCCACACCACAACTCGATGGACGTCCTGGGATCTCAAGGTTGGGTTTCTTGTGGAAGGTTTCTTGTGGTCGGGCCCCCGCTGTAGTCCGCTCTGCTCGTCACGTGACAGCCCGGAGGGGGGGGGGGGGCAAACCAAAAGTACCCTCTTCACTCTATTCGTCTCGTGGCAGCGCCGCTGGGGGCCGCACAAGAGTACTCGTCCACTCCGCCTGCCACGTGGCAGCGCCCGGAGGCGCGCAGAAGCAGCATCCCAGCCACTCCAACGTGTTACAATGGCAGCACCGCAGGGGGGCCGAACACAACACTCACCACCCACCAAACCACCCCAACCCAACCCGAAGGCCTCAACTTGACCTCCATTTCCAGTGGGGGGGGGGTCGGGAAACATCGGAACAAAAACACTTGTGGAACCCCTACCCCCCCCCCAACCCGAAATTCGGGTCTTCGGGTTGGGTTGGGGTGGCCTGGTAGGTAGTCAAATACTGCGCCTTTCAACTCGCCACGTGGCAACGCCCGTAGGCGCGAGGAAATCGTATTCCATGTTAGTCGTCACCTGACAGCGCCGCGGGGGCCGAACAAAAACACGAACCATGTCACGGAGGCGACGACGAGGACGAGGACGACGACGAGAAGGACAACGATGATGACGACGAGGCGGAGGCGAACGAACATTCTATCCTGTCCTTCTCCTCGTCGTTCTCCATCCCCCTTTCCCATCCCTTCTCCACCTCAGGGCTTCTGAGAAGTCCCGCCGCCTTCTGAGAGGGCCTTCTTCTTTCCACTTCCCCCCTCGCTCGCCGCCGAAATTTACTGCAATGCCATGCACTGCAAATGCAACGCAACAGGATCTGGTTGGCCGGTTGGTAGGTGGGTAGGTAGTTGGTTGGTTAGTTGGTTGGTTGGTTGGTTGGTTGGCTTGTTGGGCGGCCGCTACTTGGCAACCCTTGGGCGGGCGACAAAATGCTGTTCCACTCTACTCGTCACGTGGCAGCGCCGCGGGGGCCAGAAAATATACTCCAGGTCTCTCAGTAAGCGTGTCGGGGGGTGGATCGCGTGGGGGGGGGGGGGGGAAACCGCTGTCCTTCGGGGGGCGTGGGGAGGTTGGGGAGCGAGAGGGGGTGGGTTTGGGGCGCGTGGGGGGGCGGGCAAGGGGCGTCGGACAGGTAGGCACGGGGGGGGGGTAGCTTATTGAAAGACCTGGAGTGGCATTCAAGCCGATTCGCCACGTGACAACGCCTGGTGCGGACCGAGCACATGCTATTCCACTGTTCGTCACGTGGCAGCGCCGCGGGGGCCGGAAGCAGGGACAAAGATCCCACTGATCGTCACGTGGCAGCGTCGCGGGAGCCGACAAGAAAGCACTGTGCCGCTCCACTCTCCGCGTGGCACCGCCTGGAGGCGCAAAGACAAAGTGCTCCGTTCTAGTTGTCACCTGGTAGCGGCGCGGGAGGCGAACACAAACATTATGCCACGACGACGGCGGGGCTGACGACGAGAACGAAGACGACGATGACGACGACGACGACGACGACGAGGGCCAGGGAGGCGAAGAAAAAGTCTATCCCATCGTCCCCGTCCTTCTTCCTACCCCCTGCCTTCTCCCTCCTCCATCCTCCCTCCTCCCTCCCCCACTGCCATGTGCTGCACATGCAACGCAGCCACGATACAACGCAACATGATGCAGTGCCATGCAACGCCATGCAATGCAATGCAACGCGTCACGTGGCAGCGCTGTGGGGGCCGAGCAAAAACATGATGCCACGACGACGACGATGACGACGGCCAGGGAGGCGAACCACAATACTAATCTAAACTTATCCTCGTCCTTCTCCCTCCCTCCTTCTCCATCCTCCATCCTCCCTCCTCCCTCCCTCATTCCTCCCTCCTCACCCTTGCCTCCTCCCCCCTCTCTCTCCTCCCCCTCCCCTCCTCCCCTCCCTCCTCCCCCCTTTCCCTCCCCTCCTCCTTCAGCAATTCACTGCAATGCAACGTACTGCAAGTGCACTGCAAATGCAACACAGAGCAGTGCAGTGCAACGAAACAGGATGCAATGCAATGCAACGCAACACAACGCAATGCAATGCAATGCAATGCAAGGCAAGGCAATGCAACGCGATGCAATGCAAGTGCAAATGCAACGAAAGGCAACGCAATGCAAATGCAACGCAGCGCAATCCAACGCAACGCCACACAGTGCGCCCGCCTGCGAAAGCCTGCACTCCCGCCCGCAACAGAAAGAAATGCACCGGGGAGTGCTCGCTGGCCCGTTGGTTGGCTGGTCAGTTGGCTCCCGGGGTTGCCGGGTTAGCCCGCGTCCACAGGCCACTCTTGGTACAGTTCTCACACGGATCGCGCTTGTTTTCTCGACCGGAGATCACGAATTTGTTTGACATCGGGAGCCTCGAGACGGGGGTCAATGCAAACGGGGGTCAGCCAGGGCGCCAGATCCTGCAGGATCCTGCGAAGACCCCCTCTGGCTGACCCGGGTTAGCGAGCCGCTCGTGGCCGCGAGGCGGCCGCGCGTATTGGTTCACCCGGGTTTGCGAAGATTTGCGTTGCAGTTTTTGTTTTCCCTGCATTGCAGTTTTTGGTTTCCTGCTGACCCGGGTCTGGATTGACCCGGGTCAGAAGATCCCCGATGACACGCGACCCCGCAGGCCGCGCCCGAGGAGGGCCTCGACGACGCGGGATTTGCGTGGCAAGGAGGGACGCTAGCTTGAAGGGTGCGGAGCACGTGGCGATCATCGGAGTTCGCCGTGGTGCCGTGCTCGGCTCTACCACCTGGGAGGGGTATACCTGCGGTGCTGCAGGAGCGCCAGGCGCACCATGTGGACAAGAAGGAGCCGTTTTTTTGCAACGGGCGGTACAGCGAAGGAGCTGGCTTGGGATGGCATCGCAGGGTTGCGAGTCTCCTTAATTAACGCATCTCGAGAAGACGCTCGAGCTACACACCGACAGGTTCAACAAAAGCGCGCTATCATCATCTCGGCGAACGCGCCGAAACGGTCCAGAAGCACTCTCAGATGACGGTTTCACGGAGGTGGACGCCGCTTGGGCGACCGAGGACGACGTGCTTGAGGCAAGCCCTCCAGCTACGTCACCCACCTCGCCTCTGGGCGCCAGCCTGCCACCTACAGGATCGTCCCAGGGTCAAGTCGGGTCTGTCTCTTTACAGGAGGAGCAGTCAAGCATAGTAAAAAATTGTATGTTTGAGATTTGTTTCCTTTTAATTGTTGTTTTTATTCGTTCCTCCAAAATCCGCCTGTAGGAGGACATGCCCGACCTTAGCCCAGGCACACCACGCTCCATCTCACGGGCTCCGGCGCAAGAGCCGTAGGCTTCCACGCGGCGTGCCCCCCTGATTCATCATGCATCATGCCGCCATCCGCCTTGCGCCTTATGATGTTCTCCTCTACTTTAGCATTGACCACCAGAAAGAATTTCGAGCACCCAGAAAGCACCGAAACTGAAGGGTTTTCACGTGCCGGGCACTGGGAGGCGACATTCGTTCGACACTGTTTCGACATTTTTCTCGGTGAGTGGTCATTCAGCTCGACGGGAGCTACAAAACTCGCGCCTTCTTCCCCCGTCCTCAGCCTGCCCCCTCGGCGTCCCCTCCCTGCCTCGCCCTCGGGCGCGCGACCGATGGTGTAACACTGATCTGGTGGTGCGCGACCGACTGGGCGCGCGACCGGGCGCGCGGGCGGTGTGGATTTGGCATGGAACGTCCTGCTGTTGAAAAGAAGAAAAAGCGGGGGTGGACGGAACCCCCACCACCGTGGTCGTCATTTTCCAGGCCTGCGCCCGTCAGGTTTGGGCCCAAGGTCGCTTTCACTGAGCCACGTTTTGCTTGTCTGTCCCCAGGAAGAAGAGAATCCGCGCAGCGAGAACAGCAGAACGGGAGGGGGCCCACAGGCGCACAGAACTCTCGGCCTTCGCCCTCGAAGCCCGAGGCCCTTGCTCCACGCGGCGGTTGCCCGGGCTCGGGGGGCCTTTGTCGGGGGTGCCCGACCCGCCCCGAACAGCCGCCGGAGAGGCCCGAGCCATGACCAGAGGAATCCACCAGGAGGCGATTCGACGTCCGCCCCGTCCTTCGGCCACGCGCAGAGGGGGGGTAGGAGGAGGGGGGAGGCTTCTTAGAAGCACCCCTGCTTCTTGGAAGGCGCTGGCCTTCTATACAGACGTAAGGCCGGGGCCCTCTAAGAAGCAGGGGTGCTTCTAAGAAGCCTTCCCCCGTCCTCCTGCCCCCCTCTGCGCGCCGCTAAGTCCTCCCAAGTTGCGTCCGATCAGATGGAGTCGGAGGATCGTGCCGCACAGTGGGGGCCCATGCCAAGGAACGCCCTGCTTGCCTCCAGGGCGATGCGTCGGCGATGCGGCGCGATCCTCCCCCACCTGCGCGGTCCCCGCTCGCGAGGCTTGTTGTGGTCTGTGGTTCGGCGTGGGCGCTGTCTCCCTCTCGTCTCTCCCCCCTCCCCTTCTCCAAAGCAGCGCCGAACAGAAAAAGAAAGCTCGTGAGAGGCCTGCAGATGCAGAGCCTCGATGCTCGCCAGTGGTATCGCTGACAAAAAACAGGAGGGGAAAAACACACACAGACACAATGAATCGTCCCCTCCCAGGCAAATGTGGAAAACTACGGGACGTGGGGGGGAAGACACAAACCCAGAAAATGTGGGAAAATAGATTGGGAATCCTTTTATTTCTGTGTGTACTTGTTTGTGTGTCCCAGGGCCCCTTCAAGCAATAAACAAAAACTCGCCGAGGCCGGCGGATGCCGAGCCTCGAAGGCTCGCCGGCGGCTCCTCCCGAGACGGGGGCGGGTCTCCCCAGCGGCTCGTGGGCGAGGCGGGCCGCGCCCCCCCCCCCCCCCCTGGGGCCGAGACCGGGGGGGGGGGCCTCGCGCGCGTGCGGCGACGGCTCCTCCGAGGTGCGCGTCGGGGTCGCAAGGGGGGGGGGATAGCATTGTGTCGGGCGTGTCCCCCCACAGGGGGATTTTCGAAGAAGAATGAAAGATACTTTAAACATAATCCAAACATTGACCACAAATAGTCTGAGGACTTTTTGTTTGAGTACTTGTTGGCCTTCTTGGTGTATTTTTGGTGTATTTGGGTGCTCGTCGGGGTCGCAAAGGGGGAGGGGGGATAGCATTATGTCGGGCGTGTCCCCCCACAGGGGGATTTTCGACGAAGAATAATGCATACCCCCAAAAATGCCCCAAAATGGTCAAAAGATACCCCACAAATAGTCCCCAGACCGATTTTGCATTACTTTTTGATCATTTCTGGGGCATTTTTTCTTCATCGTCGAAGATTCCCCTGTAGGGGGACAGGCCCGACGTAAGGATAGCAAGGGGGGAAGGGGGGGGGGTGAGAATCAGCTCGCGTCGCCGATTTTCAGGGCGCCTCCCGGCGCCGGAGGCGGCATGCGTCTCGAGGAGTGGGCCCCTCGCAGCCAATTTCGTAACCCCCCCCTTCCCAATCCCCCCCTTTCGTCTGGCCCGAGGGTCGCAGGGGAGGTGCCTCCACCGGAGGAAAATGCTGAAACACATAGTAGGAGATCAAGTAGTCAGGGGACGGTTGCTAGTCTAGTTTTGACCACTGTTGGACCATATTCGAAAACAGTGAAAAAAAGTCTGGGGACGATTGCTTGACTTCTTTCGATCATTGTTGGACTATGGTTTGACTATTCTTCACGATTCTTCCAAGATCCGCCTGTAGGAGGACATGCCCGACCTAGGATTCGGTTAGATTCCTGCGATGTGACTTGGATTCGACTTCGATGGCTTCCGATTCCGATTCACTTCGACCTCGGCTTCCGATCTGGATCCCAATGTCTCCATGGAGGCCTTGCTGCTCTCTGTAAATGTCCGCTGATTCTGCTCCTCCCGACTTGTCTGGCGATGTCCGCCCATCCGTTTCGTCTCGATCGCCGAGTCGGCTCAACGATCCGATTCTGGGCTTCCCTGCCACGGGTGCCGGGGCTGGGAGTTTACCTGCCTCCGCGATTCGGTCGGTCCGGCAGCGTTGCAGTCGGTTGCGTTCCGTCGGTTGCTGTTGTGTCGTTGCCGCGTCGCCGCGCCCCTCTGGGCTGTCGGCCTGTGCCGGTGGCGGTCTGCGGTCGGTGCGGCGTGTGCGGGGCCGTGCGGTCTCCGTGGGCGGCCGTGCCTCCAGGTGCGGCTCCGGCGGTGTCGGTGTGGTGCAGGGTGAGGAGGCCGAAGAGGAAAAACGCCGAGCTGTGCTGCTGTGCGCAAGATGTTGGTTGCGCCTCGGGAGGCGGGGGGCGATCTCCTGGGGCCTGCGTGCTGATCGCCGCAGTGCACGCTTCCAGTCTTTTCAGAGGGCTTCCAGTGGCAGACTGCCCCCTCTCCCGCGCCTTCGTCTCCTGTCGTCCCGTCCGACCAATGTGTGCGTGGGGGGGAGGCAAGGTGTCCCGACAAGTATTATGTCGGGCGTGTCCTCCTACAGGGGGATGTTCGACGAAAAATAAAACATAACCCAAAAATGCCCCCCAAAGGTCAAGAAATACTCAAAAAATAGATTTTTGGATTCTGTTTCTGTTATTTTGGCTGTTTTTTTTTTCGTCGAAAATCCCCCTGTACGGGGACAGGCCCGTCTTAAGACAAGTATTGCAGTACTATGCGTCCAGATGGCCTCGAGCAGCGCAGACTGCCTAGGTTCGTTGCGTCGGATGTCCTCGAGTCTGGTGCGGGCAGACGGGCTGGAGGGTCAGTCATCAGTTGTTTCTCCCCGCCAGCCCTGCACCATGAAGGCGGGGAACGATGGTTGAGTCTTTGGGCAGAGCGATGTATGCAGTATTGCAGCGCTCGCAGGAGAGGGAGGAGAAGGAGGAGGAGGAGGACGAGGAGGACGAGGAGGAGGAGGAGGAGGAGGGTGAGGTGGAGGAGCAGTTGAAGGACGTGTGTGTGGGACGAGGGCATGGATGGAAGTCAGGACCACAGCGAGGACGCAGGCGAGAACGCCAGCGAGAGCAGGAGGATGAGGAGGGAGCTGGTGAGGACGACCTCGACGAGGCAGGGGGTGACGGCCAGAGAGGGGAAGATCGGGAGAGGGGAATCAGCAGAATCAGCAGGGGAGGAGGGCGGTAGTAGGGAAAAGAACAATGACATAAACATCGGGGGTGGACAAACCCAGGGTGCCCTTGGTGTCTTTGGTTGCGATGGTTTCGCTGTGGAAGGCGTGACGTTCCCGCACCAAAAATCAATGGACGTCCTAGGGTCTCAGGGTGGGGTTTCTTGTGGACGGCCTCTTGTGGTCGAGCCCCTGCTGCAAGGACAGGACGGGGCCCGAGAGTGGACCCTACTGTAAGATAGGAAGGGACTGCTCGAGGCACCTCGCCCTTAGGACCCCATCCATCAGGACACCATCTCTTCGGCACGAACGAAATGGGTACGGAAGGAATGTGTACAATGGCCAACAGCAGTTCCTGTTCATCTTGAACAGGACTCGCTGCCGGTGTCGCCGCGGTCTGTGCCCATTTGAGGCAGAAGGCCGCCTGCCCAACAGTGGCCGCTGCTGGTTCGGGGCAAGAGTTGTTGCTGGCCATTGTACCCATCCTTTCCGTGCCCACTTCGGGCGTCCACATCTCAGGAGGGAAAGAGACACACAGACACACTGGACCGTCGACTCCCGGGGAAAGAGGGGAAGCTAGGGGGGACGTGGGGGGGGGGGGACGAGCACCCAGAAGACATCGGGGAAACTGTGGG